TGCGCCGGAGCCCTCAGGTGAGCAGGCCCTCGCGGGTTCAAGGATCCCCGTGCCTCTGTGGGCTGCGCATTCCGACTAGCCTTAGAGCCCGCTCCGCTGGGGACCCGCCCCCTTCGCTGACCACGTGACCCGAGTTCGGTAACCCTTGACCTTCTGTACCGCACCCCACCACCTCTTGATCTGTGATGAGTGAAGCTGCGTGGGAGGATGCGCGTCGCGGAGGCCGGTAGAGGTCAGTTCCCACGCCTCCTTACCAGTGTGGCTAGGGTCTGATGATGTAGAGGGGAGGTTGAGGAACGAGAGACCTTGGTCAGAGGCCTGACTTTGTAGGTCTTAATGTGGGCACGTAATAGGGAAACCCTTCGCGCCTTCACCCATTTTACAGATGGAGAAAGAGAAGCTTACCATTATCTGTTGGCGGGTCTCCAACGCCAAGTCTTCCGTCTGGGAATCCAGGCCTTGTTCCCCACATAGCTCTCCGCTCTTGATGAAGAACAAGAGTTTGAGCCTCTACTCCCTACTTAGTGCTCGCTGGGTGACCATGGACAAGTCATTTCACATTTAGCCTCTCTGAGCTTTGATTTCTTTGGCTGTGAAATAGACATAAGTTTACATAATACCTACCCCATTGTTGATGAGGATAAAAGGAAGTATAAGCGTATACAGCACTTAGCTCAGTACCTCAGGCATGGCATGTGCTTAGAAAAATAGCTATTCTTTATTTGTTTTTTTTTTTCAGCAAGTGTTTATTGAGGGCGTATTATGTGTTGACACTGCCAGACACGGGGAATGCAAAGGTGAGCAAACAGGCATGATCCTTGCCGGCACGGACCTTACAATCTAGTGGGGAGGTAGGTGTTATCAAAAGTTACACAAATATATAATTACAAACTGTGATAACTGCTTTGAAGGCAAAGTACTGGGACAGTATGGGAGTTCTGAGAAGACTTCCCTGAGCAAGTAACATTTGAACTGAGATCTGAAAGAGCAACTGGGCATTTACTAGACAACGGGATTGAGGGTGGAGAAGGTGCAGGAGAGCGTTTCAAGTAGAGGAAACGGAATATATGGTCATCCTGAAATAAGGCGTTTTAGAAAAAATGAAAAGAGGCCACGGACAGGCATGCAGAGCACAAGAGGGTGGGACAAGGTGTAGCAGAAGTCGGTGCATATTTAGGGTCCTGGAGCCGTGCTACAGGTTTGTTCTTTATTCCAAAGGCAATGGGGAACCATTGGGAGAAATGCCGCAGGGAGGCCAGAAAGGATGCCCATTGGATTTTGGGACCTAGAGGTCATTGGTGACCCAGTGAGTCCCGCCAGAGAGGAATAGGGGGCAGTGACTGTGTGGGTCACTGGGGAACTCGGCCTTGCAGCCCATGGGGCTGATGCCTCACTTTGGCCCATGGGGACCTACCTTCTAAATGTGGTGTGTGTTAGAGTCTGTCACAGCCACAGTATTTTATTGGGTTCTTATTCTGTCATATCCTGTAAACGGAAGAGCAGGTTCCTGCTTTTAAACCTTGCAGCCAAACTTGGGAAGACCAGACACATGGGCGGAAACTTAACTACTAAAAGCTTGACAGTCTCAAATGCACATGGGGTAGGAAGACCTCAAAGGAGAGACCAGATTTGCCTTGGCAAAGAGGAGGGGGTGGGGGTTTGGAGTAGGGAGGGTGACAGACCAGCCTGAGCATTGGTGGTGGAGAGGCGAAGGCAGGCTGGCAGACACAGGCTGGTCTCACTGGGAGGTGGGATCAGCTTGATGAACAGCTGTGAGGATTTGGGACCAAACACAGAACGTTAAGCCGGTGAGTTTGGGCTTCCCTTTTATGAGCATTGGAGAAATATTGAAGATTTTGAGCAGGGAATGTCAGGATAAAAGTAATGTTTTTCATCAAGATCTAATACATGGTGGTTGTAGCAAGAATCAGAAGGAAGAAGACACGAAGTTTTAGTTTCTGTTTTTAATGAATGCTGGTAACGTCTTTCCTTTGTGTAGTGTGCCGGTCCCTGACTTTCTCCTACACCATCTCATTTTATCCTCAGAGAAGCCTGTGAGTACGAGAGGGCATGAATTATTGTTTTGAATTACAGTTTAGGACACCAGGGTTCAGATTGATAACAGTCACAACCAAATTTACACAGGAAATGGTAGGGCAGGGCTGGGACCCAGCTCTGTGGACCCCAGGGCCAGGCACTTTCTCAGGAGTCCCTGCTGTCTCCCTGTGGCCCAGCCCAAGTCTGCTGCTTGCTCTGAGTCTCAGTTTCCTCACCTGGACACTAGAGCCTTTGTGGCTCCTTGTTTGGGGATTCTGGAACAGGAGCTGCAAGACTGGTTTAGAGGGCCTGTGTCGGACTCCTGGGCTCAGAGGGGGATGGGTGGCTTTTAAACCTTTCCTCCCCGTTCTCAGCTCCACGGGGACCATGTCGGAACGAGAAGAGCGGCGGTTTGTGGAGATCCCTCGGGAGTCAGTCCGGCTCATGGCAGAGAGCACGGGCCTGGAGCTGAGTGATGAGGTGGCGGCCCTGCTCGCAGAGGATGTGTGCTACCGTCTCAGAGAGGCCACCCAGGTACGCTCCCTGCCAGTACCCCCAGCTCTCCTTGGCAACCCCCTCCCACAGGGGTCTATTCCCCAAACATACAGGGAGCCTACTGTGTGCTTTGAGGGAATGCAGTGGTGGCTTCCTGCCCTTCCCAGAGCGCCCTTTCTAGCCAGCTGGGCTCCCAGCAAACAAAACTCTTGCTGGGCATCTTCTCGTGTTCCTCACAACAGCCCCGTGGGCAGGCCAAGCAGGTTCATGTTTATATTCTGCGTGTGAGAAACAGAGGCCCAGAGAGGGACCGTGACTTTGGGGGTTGTCTGCATAAGAGCAGAGCTGGAATCCAGGCTTTCTGATAGCTGGTCTAGTGTCCTTGCCTCCTCCCTAGGTTCCTGCTTGGCACTGGGGGCCCCGCAGCCTCTGCTCGCTGTCCCCTGACTCTGTTTCTCCCCTCCCAGAATAGCTCTCAATTCATGAAACACACGAAACGGCGCAAGTTGACCGTGGAGGATTTTAACAGGGCCCTCAGATGGAGCAGCGTGGAGGTGAGTGCGGCGCAGGTTGCAGAGGGCTCAGCTGGCATGAACTCACTCCCATGCCCAGCTCAGGGCTGGCAACGCAGTAAGACTTGAAGACCATGTGCACACACGAGGGGAGTCGCAGCTACCTCAGGCCAGGTGCCCGGCTTGGGCCCCTAAGGCCTATGTGTTTAGAAAACGGGGAAAGGAAGTCCCGGGCACTGGGCGGTTAGGGGCAAATGGGACTTGAGCTGGGCCTGAAAGGGAGACGCGGGTTAGACCAAGGAAAGAGAAGGCGTTCTAGGGGAGCATGGGTGTTAGGATGTCCTGCATGGGTGTCGTGGGGCCGGGAGTTGGGGAAGGCCATGTTTAGCAGAGAGCAGTGTTTTCCAAGTCGGGTCAGTGTGAGGTGGCCCAGCAGCCTGGGGGCGGGGCTCGGAGCCCAGATGGACCTAGGAGAAGAACCTCGTCCTCCTCCTTGACCTGGTGAGCTTTGGATGCTCCAGCCGAGTTCCCAGCGATGGGCCTGAAGCCTCAGGCATCCCCGCCTTCTCTCAGGACTTCTGGACTTCCTGCAAATGTAGGCTCCCCGCCCTGGTCGGGAGATCACCTTTTTCCTCCCCAGATTCAGCTGCTCTCCAACCTTCTCTCTGCTCAGGCCGTTTGTGGTTACGGATCCCAGGAGGCGCTGCCTCTGCGCCCTGCCAGGGAGGGTGAGCTCTGCTTCCCTGAGGACCGAGAGGTGAACCTGGTGGAGCTGGCCCTGGCCACCAATATCCCCAAAGGCTGTGCCGAGACCGCTGTGAGAGGTGACTGTCAGGGTCCTGCCTGGGGTGGGGACAAGAGCTGGGTTGTCAGAGGAGTGGTGAATGGGGCAGGACTCAATGGGGCGGGTGGTCCCAGAAAGGGGAGAAGCCCAGGCTGACCTATCTCTCTGCTCTGGTTCTAGTTCATGTCTCCTACCTAGATGGCAAAGGGAACCTGGCACCTCAGGGATCAGGTAAACGGTAGTGTGGGCAGTGGGCTCTCTGGGTCAACCTTCCTGCCTTAGGAGCTGAGGGTGTTGCCTCTACACCCGAGTCTTCATCTGACAAGTATTTCCCAATGCCCTGTTCTAAGTGGGCACTGCTTCCTGCCCAGAGGGCTCAGAGCTGGAGGCGGGAGCCCAGACCCGTAACAGTCCTGATGCCATGGGCTGGATGCTGGGGGTGCCCACGGAGTCTGGGCAGCATGCTGGGGTTCCTGGGTGCAGGTGTCTCACTTCCATCATCTGCTGAGCAGAGCTCGGGGCTTGCGGGCTGAGCAGGAATCTGCCCGCAGAGGGTGGGAGGCGGTGTACAGGGCACAGGGGTGTGGAGAGGCTGTAAGGTCAGGGCATGGTGGGCTGCTCAGAGCGGCTGGTGGCTCTGTGCTCTGGGTGCCCAGTCTGAATGGGCTTCTTGGAGGAGCGTGAGGAAGGTGGTCATCGGGGAGTAGACAAGGGAGGCCGAGAGAAGGCTGGGCTCTCCACCTTGACCACGTCCTGCCCATCGCCTCACAGTGCCCAGTGCTGTGTCTTCACTGACCGATGACCTTCTCAAGTACTACCAGCAGGTGACTCGTGCTGTACTGGGGGATGACCCGCAGCTGATGAAGGTGAGCGAGTGAACTCGAATCTGGGACACAAAGTCCAGTTTTTGAATTCCCATGAAATTCTTTTAGATGCCTACTTCCTGTCCCCTCCACACCGACAGACTGATGTGTGTGGAAGCTGTTTTTAGTGGCGGGGAGTGGGGGTGCTCTGAAGCTTGGTCCTCTTCCGGTACTGACTCCCCTTCCTACTCTGGGAGGAACCGTGTGCCTTAGGGAAATGGGCAGCTCAGCAGGGCCCTTTGTCGGGCTCAGGTGGTCTGTCTCCCCACACCTCGATTCCAGAGCCCACTCTTGGAGTGTTTGTTGTCCTAGGGCTAAGTGGGGTATCCACATTGTAGCTTTCATTTTCCTGGACTTGAGACGGGGAGGAGAAGAGGAAGTAGATGGACCGATGTCAGGGCGCCGGTCAGGCCTGCTCTGAGACCTGCTCTTCAGTCCTTAGTCCCTGGGTCTCATGCCTGCCCTGCGCTTGAGTCTCTGCAGCTCCACAGGGCCTACTGGACAGTACCCGTGTCGTCACTTTGGCTGTCCGTAGCCTCCCTCTGGTTGAGGGTTTTGCATCCTCCATGTCTTCGTGTGTCTGGCTGCTGCAGCTGCAATTTCCCTTGAAAATTAGAACTGTTGCTGCCGTACATTCCTGCCTGAGAAGCTTGGCTGCGATTCCCCGGGCTCGGTGCAGGATCGGGGTGGGGTCTGGGAGCTGAGCTCCTTTCTCGCTGGCCTGTCTGCTTTCACAGCACCTAAGCTTAGGATCTTCATCCTAAGTTTGGAGGGAACGTTCCGGGTGGTGGAGGTTTTACTCATTTACTTTAATGTCTTTTTTCTGCTTTTAAAAGTAATACCAGCATGTTTATTATAGAAGTATTGGAATACAAAAACAAAGTAGGAAGTGAAAGTCTCCTATGGAACCATCCGCACCTTTTTCCCCCCGTGTATAACAATGATCACTCTAGTATAAACCAAGTGGTGTTTTCTAAACATGGGGTTTTAGAATAAATGCTTTTCTTGGTTAAAAATATGTTGGGCATTTAGGTTGTCTTAATACATTTTTTTTTTTATTACAGACAATGCTATATAGGTATGTGTGTGGGTTTCTTTTATAGGAGTTAAATTTATAGAAGCAGAATTGCTGAATCAAAGTGTATGAACATTTAAAACTTTAGTACATAAGTGCTAAACTGTCCTAAAAAAAAATGTCGATATCTCCTTGGGGCTGACGGATTCAGGGCAGTGTGGCCCCTTCCTTTTCAGATCGCTCTCCAGGACCTGCAGACCAACTCCAAGATCGCAGCGCTCCTGCCTTACTTTGTTTATGTGGTCAGTGGGGTAAGTGACCATGCTGGGGCAGGGGAGACTGTTTTGTGGGGAAGAGATCACCCAGCAGCATGCAGGGCTCACGGCAGGTGCCATCCGAACGGCAGGTTCCTGTGCACCCTCATGCCCCACTAAGCACCCTTTTCTACCAACAGGTGAAATCTGTAAGCCACGACCTGGAGCAGCTGCACCGGCTCTTGCAAGTGGCTCGGAGCCTGGTCCGGAACCCACACCTCTGCCTGGGGCCCTATGTCCGCTCCCTGGTGGGCAGTGTCCTCTACTGTGTCCTGGAGCCACTGGCTGCTTCCATCAACCCCCTGAATGACCACTGGACCCTGCGGGATGGTGCTGCCCTCCTGCTCAGCCACATCTTCTGGTAGCCATTGGGGCTAGAGCTGTATAAAGGGTGGGACAGCTGCAGAGCTGAGTGGGCTGGGGTAGGGAGATGGGATGAAACTTCTGGCTTTGAGGCCATATTGAGAGGTCGGGAGCCTCTTCCCTTAGAGCTTTCAAGTTGATGTGTTGTGGCATACTGGGATTCTACAAATGGTTGACAAGTATGCCAAAGCTTTGGTTCTTCAGCCTTCAGGTACCAGGCCAGTCACTGCTAGCCACCTTATTCACTTAATCCAGTGTGCCACACAAGTGCTATTTTCTCTGAGTGCTGTGACTTGAATCCTGTTGGGCAGCACTGTGCCTCATCCCTTCTCTGACTAAATGTTGCTCCCACAGGACTCATGGGGACCTTGTAAGTGGCCTCTACCAGCAGATCCTGCTCTCCCTGCAGAAGGTCTTGGCAGACCCTGTGCGGCCTCTCTGCTCTCACTACGGGGCTGTGGTGGGGCTGCATGCCCTTGGCTGGAAGGTGAGGATCCTGGCCTTGCTCACGGAGCCATAAGAGCTCCCATTTGTGATTGGAAAAATATTGTGTCTTTTATCATAAAAATTTTGGTCCATGCCTGCTGCTGCCGTGTACTGAATTCTTGCTTTAGGCCAGGCTCAGGGATAGCTTGACTTCTGTACATAAATGTCTCATCCTTTCAAAAGTCCTGCACTTTTTAACATTGTTAACATACTAACAAAAGTCCTATTAATACATTCCTATTTCATGAATTCCTGCCCATTCTCTTTTATCACATTGAGGAATTATCCCTCACTTCCTCTTGTACTGAGTATATTTTAAAAAGGAATGGATACTGAGCTTTGTCAGGTACCTTTTTAGCGTCTGTTGAGATTACCAAATGATTATGCACCTTAGTTCTGACAATTTGATAGGTTACATGAATGGATTTTTCTGCTGAATCACTCTTGCCTACCTGGAATAAATTCTTTTGCTGCTGTTGAGATTTTTTATTGGAATTACATTGAATCAGTTAGGTCAATTTTAAAGCGAATTAACATCATTAATAATAATAAGTCTTCTCGTCCACGAATGTCATATCTCCCTTTTTTTTTAGGTCTCTCACTGACTTTTAGAATCCTTTCATAATTTTACCTGAAGAGAACTTACGTATACGTTATTAAATTTAGGCCTTAGTTTCTTGCTGTTCTTTGATGCTGTTGTAATGGTGTCTTCTTTCTATGTATTAATTGCTTATTGGTATATAGAAACAATTGACTCGTATATTCAGCTACTTTACTGAACTTTCATTTGTGGATTATTTTGGGTTTTTAATGTAGATTATATCATGTGCAAAAAATGACAGCTTTATTTCGTCTTTTCTAAACCTAATCCCTTTGATTTCTTTTTATTATTTCATTGCTAGGATCACTAATATCATTTTACATAAAGTGATAGTGGCAAACGTTGTCTCACTTCCAATTTTAAAAGAAATGCTAATAACCTTTCCCATTTAGGATGATGTTTATGTTGTATGTTTATAGATAACCTTTCTCAGATTAAGAAAATTATATTTTTAGTTTTATCATTAATCTGTGTTGAACTTTTACCACATGCTTTTTCTGTATCTTTTGTTAATATGATTAATTGGATATAGAGATTTTCTAATAGTAAATCTTTACATTTCTAGGATAAATTTGGTCATGGTATAGTCTTTAAAAATATCTAAAACTTTATTGCAATATAATGCATTTTATATTGCATTACTGTTGTATTTACTAAATTTTAAAAGAATTTGTCTGTATTCTCAAGGGAAATTGATTGTTTCCTCTCATATACTGTCCTTGTATGGTTTTAGAATCAGGGTTATACTGGCCTCATAGAATGAGGTGGGATTGAGTATTTCTTTTTTGTCTTTGTTTTAATAAGATTAAGATGCTCTTTTCCTTGCATGCCTGTAGTTTGTAACTTTCGGCATGGTGTTTTATTTGTGGTTAGATTTTTAACTACCATAGTTAAAGAATTATTTAAGCTTTCATATTTCTTGAGTCAGCAAGCAGCGTTATATTTTCCTAGGAACTTGTCAATCTTGTCAGTATTTTCAAATCCTCAGACTGTGGATGACTAACTGAAGAACTCTTATCCATTGAAGTCCATCAGAAATGTCACCTCCTCTGTGAAGTCTTAATTCCTTTCCCCAAATTAATCAGAGTCCAGCTCTCTGATCAGTTGTGCTTTTGTGCTTTGAACTGAATCCTAGTTTCCATCCAAGCGAGGACCATACTTGCCTATTGACTGTAGGGCAGCAGTTGGCAGGCTAAATACCTCTGTTGTTAGCACTGGGCGTCACTTATATCCTCTTAGCCCTTTTGTCAGTGAGGTGGCACATATGTCAGTGATGGTGGGGTCACTTTATATTGTTTGCCTTTGTACCCAGTCCTTATTCCCAGTGCTTAGCGAAGGCTTTGGTATACAGTAGGTTCCAAATAAATGTTGGCTGAGAATGCCAAGCAGGAAATTTAGGAGGACTGAGTCATGTCTGGTATCTGAGCTAAAAGTAGGTCTTTCATGGGAAAGGATATTTGACAGGCAATGAGCAATAAAGAGGCACTCACTGCATTCCTTCTCTCCCTTCCAGGCAGTAGAACGAGTCCTGTACCCACACCTGTCCACTTACTGGACAAATCTGCAGGCTGTGCTAGATGACTATTCAGTATCTAATGCCCAGGTTAAAGCAGATGGGCATAAAGTCTATGGAGCCATTCTGGTGAGTGCCAGCCCCTCCCAGGCTCCCTTCCTTGCATGAGCTCAGCAGGCTTACTTTGGAATACTTGATGGGCCCAGGTTCCTCCCAGTTCTTGCGTATCCTAATCCCTCTGCTCTTACAGGTGGCCGTAGAGCGACTGCTCAAGATGAAGGCCCAGGCAGCAGAGCCCAACAAAGGTGGCCCAGGCGGCAGGTGGTGCCGACGCTCCGATGACCTGCCCTGGGACAGCCTTCTCCTTCAGGAGTCTCCTTCCGGGGGCAGCGCAGAGCCAGGCTTTGGGTCTGGCCTCCCATTGCCGCCTGGAAGCGCAGGGCTGGAGGAACCTACCCCTTCCGTGACCCTGGCGGACACCTACCGGGAGCTCTACGCCTTCTTCGGTGACAGCTTGGCCACCCGCTTCGGCACGGGTCAGCCCGCGCCCACGGCCCCCCGGCCGCCCGGGGACAAGAAGGAGCCGGCAGCCGCCCCGGACTCGGTACGGAAGATGCCGCAGCTGACGGCCAACGCCATGGTCAGCCCCCAGGGCGACGAGAGCCCCCGGGGCAGCGGCCCCTCGTCGGCCTGTGCGCCGCACCCGCGACGTCTTCCAGAAGAGCCGTTTTGCCCCGCGCGGCGCCCCTCACTTCCGTTTTATCATCGCCGGGCGGCAGGCCGGGAGGCGGTGCCGCGGG